CTATGAAATAAAACTGAAAATAAGTCTAGGCCGGGGAGAGGCCTCACACGCCCCCCCTGGGTTAGGCTGGGCAGTACACAGAGACTCTCAGTCCTTGGGCCCTGGTTTCATCCAGCCCTTGTGCTCCACAGCTCTGCAGTATTTGTCAGGCAGGACGGTGGCTCTGGAAACAGGAATAATATGTGTATAATCCCAGACCACCACCACGGAGCAGGTCATGCTATGGGGCCACCTGCCATGGGGCCTCCAGTTGTGCCAGGGCCTGGAGCCAGCCCTGAGGGGCCCAGCAACACTTCTGGCACCTCAGCCTCCTGGGAGCAGGGCTGATGCAGCTGGAGGGACTCTGTGAGGGCTTCGTTCCCATGGGGAGACCCAGGCCCCGGTGAACATGGGGGCGTGTAGGGCAGGAGGGAAGCTCAGAGCAGGCGGCAGGAAGGCTGGTTCTGGGCAGCACACAGCAGTGACCTGCCTCCAGCCACTGCCATGCCCAGCCCTGCTACAGCTGCCCTGCCCTCAGCCAGCAGCCTGGGCCCCAGCCCCACTCCTGCCCCCGGTGAACATGGGGGCGTGTAGGGCAGGAGGGAAGCTCAGAGCAGGCGGCAGGAAGGCTGGTTCTGGGCAGCACACAGCAGTGACCTGCCTCCAGCCACTGCCATGCCCAGCCCTGCTACAGCTGCCCTGCCCTCAGCCAGCAGCCTGGGCCCCAGCCCCACTCCTGCACCACCTGGCAAGTCTCAGGGGCTCAGCCTGCCCCAGGATGTGGTGAAGGGGGAGGGAAGGAAGAGACAGCATGAGTTGTGCTGGATGCTGGTGGGCATCACCCTGAGATCGGCGCCCACGGTCCACCCCCACGTGGTCCAACCCTCACCAGAGCTCCTGCATCCTGGTTCTCTTCAGCTGGCCATTGCAGTCTGGGGTTTTCTGCATGTCCTGTTGCTGGTGCTTCCCAGCCTCAAAGCGGATGGCCCACTTGTGCACCAGCTGATCCTGGCGCTCCAGCACCAGGCGCCGCACCGCTTTGCCGTACTCCAATTGTTTGGGTACCCTCTCCTCCTGCTGCCTTTGCACCTTCAGTGCCTGCTCCTGCTGCTTCCTGGGGGAGACACCAGCGCCCATGACAGGGGCCAGCCCAGCCTGTGCACGGGTAGTGCCTGTCCCTCCCACAGCAGACAGGCAGGGCCATGACCTTCCTGCCAGGGGCTGCTCTGTCCCACTCCCGCAGACACGGGGCCCTGCATTGGCCTGACCTGGGTCATCTCCACTGTAGCTTGTGCCTGCCAGCAAGACCTGCATAGGGCAGGTCTGACATGGCCCAGCCCAGTGCCCCCGCAGGCACGCTCTCCAGCACCTGGGACCCCACTGTTGCCACAGGGCCAGGCCGCTCCTTGCCCTACCTGACAACTTGCTCGAAATAGCTGCAGTGCCGCTTGGTCTGTTTGACCTGCTGGTGCTCCTTGCAGGCCATCTGCTCCAGGAGGCTCTGCTGCTTCTCCCTTTCCTTGGCCTCCTTGTGCTGCTTGGCCTGGAGCATGTCCTACCAGGAGGGAAGCCCTGACTGCTTGGCCCAGGCAACAAGGAGCCAGGTGCAGACGCTGCCCCTGCTGCCCTGGGGAGCCAGCCCCGACCCTTGGGCTTCCTTTGCCTGCCTCCTCTCCCGGCTCTATAGAGCTAACAGGGCTCTCTTCCCCATCTGATCCATGTGCAGTGCTGGCTGCCACGGCAGTGCTGGCAGGACTCAGGCAAGCTGCAGAGCTTTGTCTGCTGCATTGGAGAGCTAATGTCTTCTCTCCTGAGCCCAGGCTGCCGCATGCCCACCCGCATCCTGCTCAGCCAGGGGCTCCAGCTGGGTGGGGCTGGGTCTGTCTTACTGCAGTCACAGGGGGAAGCATCCCCCACTCCTCCCCTGGGGTGCGTGTGGTTGAGGCCCTCCCACTCTGCTGGTTCCCAGCCTGCCAGAGAGGCTGTGAGGGAGCGAGGTTGGAGGCAGCCGCGTGCGTTACCTTCTTAGCTTGGAAGTCCCTGACCCTCTGCTGCAGGGTCCACAGGCGGGCCGTCTCTGGTTCCTTCTCGTGGAAAGCCATCTGCTGTGCCTTGATCTCTGCTTCCTGCACCTGCCACAGCACAGCCCCAGCTCCGTGAGCCAGTGACCAACCCACACACCAGCAGACACGGGCAGAATAGTCATAATATCACACGTGTGTGTGTGTGTGTGTGTGGGTGTGTGAGTGCTATGGCACTCATGCCCATGCAGCATTCTCACACAGGCAGTGTCGTCAGGTACACACATATGCCCAGCAGCCCCACACAACCAGGTGCAGTATTAACATGTGCGCGCAGTGGTCACACAGTGCTGTGCACACAGAGCATTCGCACATGCTGACACACACACACATGCAGTGCTCCTGCGTGCAGCTTTCAATTTTTAGCTTTCACACACGTGCAGTGCCATCAGCACATGGGGCTCTTCAGTGCTCTCCTCTAGGCCCAGCGATGCTGAGACCAGAGTGAGTCATTTCAGCTTCCATTTGGGCTCCACAGGACGAACCCCCGCCACCCTTGCCAATGCCATCCATACCCTCAGCTGTTGCTGGTGAAGCTGCTGCAGGCGGTCCCGTATCTCCTGAGCCACCAGGCACTGCACCTTGTTTATTAGGAGCCTCTCCTTCTTCATTTTCTTTATTTGCTCCTGTGCCTCCCTCTCCTGGTTGCTCTGGATGTCCTGTTGGTGCAGAAGCAGTTTTTCTGAGGTCTCCTTGCTCTGGTCCACACTGGCCGGGATGGGAGAAGCAGGCTGCTAGCAGCCCCTGGCAGACACAGGCCAGCGTCGGAGCCCATGGTTCAAGGAGCTGCTGCTAGCCTACGTGCCCTCAGTCCGCAGCACCCTTTCATGCTGGCCAGGGGCTGCCTGGACTTCGGGGTGGGCCTGCCCGGGGCGGCTGCAGGAGGCAGCTCTGCTCCGAGCCAGGTACCTGAATCCTGCTTCTCTGACAGGCACCGTTTGCATGGGTCATACTTGGTAAAGCAGCCTTCCACGGGGCATGCACACCAGGCACGTATAGGGCTCCCCTGTCCACACAGTCATTTAGCCACCGTGGAGCTGACTGTGTTCAATTCCAGCAAAACATACTAGTACTGGCCCAGGAAGATGGAAATTTGGTCTCTGTTGCCTGCCCAACAGCCCCCTGGACACCAATTTTGGGAGGTCTAACTCATACTTCAGCCCCTCTGCTCCGCGGGAGGTCAGGGTATTGGGAAGGGGTTGGTCCACCTTCCTCGAGGGAAAGTGGGGAGTTGCAGGGTTCTTGGGAAGAGGGGAGTGGAAGTCTGGTTTCTGGGGAAGCCCAGCATCCAGCAGGGATGGCCTGCCACAGCCTGGATCCTGCAGACCTGGAGACAGCCCTTTCCAGGAACAGCTACCCCATCAGCGCCCCCCAGCCTTGCTTTCTCCGACTGACCCTGCACTGAGTGAATGCCCGCAGCACTGCAGGCAGGACCCTGCTGGACCAGCCTACAGGCACTTGACTTGCTGACAGATGCCAAAAGCCCTATTCTCCCTGAGGCCGGAGGAAGGCTTCAGTGCCCAAATCTCAGCACAGCCCTGGAGCAGCTCCTGTGCACTCAACCTGGAGCACAGAACAAGCGCTGGGGACAGCCCTGAGTGTGCTGCTGGGACCGAGTGTCCGGAAGTCTGCAGTCTGGAGGAGTAGATAGGGGCCAAAAGCAGGCACAGGGCATGGCTCTGTCAGCCACTTACAGCCACTCACCTGCCTCCTGTCCTTTGTCCCTGGGCCAGTTCCCATCTTGTCCCTGACTTGGGGGCAGCACAGCGGCAGGTCCTGAACTGGGGCCCACAGCCGAGCTCCTCTCCAGTTGGCCTTTGGCTGGCCAGGAGGAGGTTGTAGGAGCAGCTGCCCCTGACGTCCTCCTGCTTCGTGCAGCTGGGGGAGCTGGAGGAGGAGAAGAGATGCTCAGCAGAAGCCCCCCTGCCACCTCTTGCGCAGCGCCCAGGCGCCAGGCTCCCACCCCCAGCCCTCGGCCTGCCAATGGGCAGCAGCAGCCCTGGTCCCGGCAGAAGCTATCCTGTGCTCAGGCCCTGCGGCAGGACTCTGGCTGGTCACACCCCATCACCTACCACGAGCGTGGAGTATGAGGGGCCTTGTGCCTGCTGGGATTTGGGCGCTGAGGACAACATGGGCAGCTTAGCCAGGCTGCTGGATCTTTGTAGAGCCATTTTTAAGCCTCAAGGCTCCACAAAGGCCCCCAGGGTCCAGGCACCCCAAGAGGTCGCTTTGGGCCTTCCCTATCTATGCTATTTCCTACACTATGTCCTATCCTATCTATGTAATCCTATCTATGTAACTTTAAAGGTGTCTCTATCTATGTACTATCTAAACTACTTCTATCTAACTAATATCTATACTACGCTCTAAGCTATCCTATCCTATCTCTTCACTACTAACTCAATAACTTCCAACACTATGATCTACACTGCTGAGTCTCTTGATTGAGCCAAGACTGACCAGGTGGAACCCAGTGCTGGTATTTATACCCTGTCCCCTTGGTCTCCATAGCAATGGAATGACACAGGCATGATATCACAAAGCTTGGTCTGGTGCTGTATATGGCAGTTGGAGAGAGGCCCTGGCCCCGGTCCTGCCCCCACCCCCCACTCAGCCTCTCTCGGGGCCTGTGGTGTCCAAGCAGCATCTGAATCTGTCCCAAGCCGTTACGGTCAGTGGGGTCCTGAAAATGCACTCAGCAGCCCCCAGGTGGAGGCCCGATCCCCACAGCAATGGAGGCCACGGCAGCCCTCTCCCCCAGTCTGTTGTTGGCTTCACGGCCTCTTGCCCACTGCTGCATCCAGCTCTGAGGTTTCTGGGCCCCCCCTGAGCTGAGGGTTGCCTCTTGCTTATCACTGTACCAACATGCACTAAGATCACCCTGCTCTTTACAGAGCGGACAGCCTAAATCAGTGGTTTTCAAGCTTCGTAGACCCAGTTCTTCTTTGGAAAAGCCAGCGCTTTGCTTTCACTTGATATTTTGATTGCAGAAAATTACATTGGCGATGCATAAGGTGTGCATGCAGGTGCACGTGCACCCCCTGAGATCAGCCATGCACTCCCCAGAAGCACCAGCCGTGAAACCGGTGCCCCCTCCCCAGTCAGCAATCGGCTGCTGGGGAACCTCCCTTCGGTGATCTGGTGTCCCCCTACGTGACAGCTGAAAATCATGTCTGTGTGATAAAGGTGGTTGCTGAAGGCTCTATGAAGATTAGACCAAGTGTTTTTCTGTCATTTGTTTAAATATTAAACTATATGTTGTTTCTAAGAGCCTAATTAAAGTTTAAGATGTAGTAAAGCTTTGTATAAAGTAAGGCCTGGTAAATTTAGCAAAGCCTTGAAGTAGTAAGATAGAGAAATCATTCAGAAGGCAGATACAGCTCTGTGAAAGAGATTAATTAGCTGTTGACCTGGATCAATGGGCCCGTGGATCTCGAGGAGACCAAGGACTGAATACCAGGGTCCTTCCCGGTACCTCTCAGACAGCACTGATTGGCGACGCCTGACTTCGCTGAGCTTTGTGGAAAGCGAAACTTGTCATACATCAGGCATCAGAGGAGATTGTCGATAAGTTGCTGACATGAATTATTCGTGTCTGTCATTGTTTATCTTGTTACTATGCATAGTTGTGTTTTTGTTAAATCAATAAATCTTTCTTACCTTTCTACCCCCTGACTACACTTTTAATACCGAACCCTCTGCAGGCGGCTAGGACATAAATTGGCCTCATGAACAGGATTGATAGGCTCTGGGCCAGAGAGAAAGGGTGGTTGGAATGGAGGGGAGTTGCATGGGCCCCGTTGGTGGCTTTGCTTAAGGAAGTGACAGGGATAGAGAATCCCGGGTTGGATAAGGATAAGTTGAGACCTGCCTGGAGTGACCCGGGAACTGTACCTGATCATTGTGCTGGGTTTGCTGCTGCTGCTGCCCAGGGTAAGCCTGAGAAGGGGTGCCTGTTGTGGCTGTTGGCCACATGCCTGCAGTTAAGGGCCAAAGAGAATGCCCAGCTCTGGGAAGAGGTCACCCGGCTGAGTAAGGAGTTAGAAGTTGTGAGAGATTCCAACAGCGTGGCATGCAAGGCTGCACAAGCTATGCAGAGCCACTTGGAAACATTAGAACGGAGAGAAGAAAAAAATGATAATTGCATATGTGGCTGCTTCCCTCCAGAAGAGGGTGCAGTTAGCACAGGCTGTGGAGTCATCCTTCCACAAGTGTCTGTATAGAAATAAACCAGAAGTTGAGATCTGGGAAGTTCAAAGGGAAGAGATTGTTGGAGAGGAGATTGATAACAAGCCTGTTGCTAAACCACCCCCATATGTCCCTGGCCAGAGGGAGGAACCGGGCCAGGCCTTCCCCGCCCAGAGGGAGGAACTCAGCCAAGTTTTTCCCATGGTGATAACTCGTTCAGGGCCGCAAGGAGGGAATCCCTGAACAGAGCTGCATTCCTTTACCCATGTGGAGATTAAAAATATACAAAAGCAGCATGAGTCCAAGCCAGGAGAGCCAGTAATAGACTGGCTAGTTCGAACGTATAGCGAAGGGGCATTTACAATTTCAGTGAATAGAGCTGAAGCCACAAAAATAGTTCTGCGCCCTGAGCTCCAGTTAAATCAGTTTGCAGGAGGTGATAAAAATATTACTTTGTTTTCTGCTGCGCTGCAAGCACCTGCGGCCAGTTATGGTAATATGGAAAAAGAGCTTAACCCTGCCCCTCAGGCATGGGACAATTTAGAAGAGGCTGTCCACTGCTTGTATCTCTTAGCACCAACTGAAATAATTTGTGCAGCAGTTTGGACTCACACGCCAGATGCAGGAGTTGTGACAGCACAACACTGTATCAAAAGGGCAAGCCCCAACACGGAGCCTTCTGTGCCACCAACAGCGTCACCAGAGGGATTCTGTGCCTTGAGGGCAGAAATGTCGACATTTTCCCAGGCACATGCAGGGCCGCCAGCCTTTACCCCGCCTAATCATGTAGCCTAGGGAGTCTGGCCGGCCCAACCCCCAAAGAAAGGAGCCACAATGGAGTCAGTAACAAGCCGGGGACTGGTAAGTAAAGTTAATATTGGCCTCTTAATTTGGATACCTGTACAGATTCAATTAGATAAAAGTGAAAAGTCAATCGATATACTAGTAAACACAGGTGCCCAGATTTGCATTTTAAATTCTGCAGATTAGAAGGGAGAGAATGAACCCCTTATCAAGTAATTAGAGTCAGAGACACCAGATGACCAGAACACCTGGTCCGAGCAAACTTCGTGTTACCTAATGGCTCTAAGGTAACAGTGGCAACAGTTGTACTTAAAGGGAGAACAAACTTACTGAGACTTAATGTACTAAGAAGACAGCAGTTTGCCCTTGAGCGAAAAAATTGGCAGTTTGGGTGCACAGTGCCTCACCAGAAACCTGAGGAAATGCCTAAAACAGCTATAACTCGATGTAGCATGATCCCACTAACCCTGCCTCCCATGAAAGGAGTACACAGACCCCAGTATCAAACTCCGCCCGAGGCCACCCAACCTATCCAGTGTACTATAAGTCAGCAGTTAAAAGACGAGACTATTATCCGAACCCACTCTCTGTATAACAATCCAGTGTGGCCAGTGAGCAAGCCAAATAGAGAGTGGCAGCTGACTATTGACTTTCAAGCTTTGAATGCTAATACTGACCCCTTGATGGCTGCCGTCCCATCACTACCAGCCTTGACAGAAAGCATCCAGTGTTATAAGCCTGCATGGATAAGATCCATTAATATCAAAGACAAGTTGCGACAGTATGTGTTTGTAGCCATAGAAGTTATCGCGAGGATGACGTTTGCCTATGCCTCAGCGAGAGCTACAGCCCAGGACACTTGTGCAGCACTGGAAACTCTGCTAGCTGTGTATCCACCACCTATAGAACTACAGAGTGATAATGGCCCTCACTTCCGCAATCATCTTGTGTATGACTGGACCGCGAAACATAGCATGTTATGGACATATCACATCCCATACCATCTGCAGTCTAACAGATTGGTAGAGTGAGCCAATAGCATCCTCAAATGCAATTTGTGGTTGGCCGCTGGCCCAGCTCTTAAAGACTGACACTTGCACCTGGATCAAGCTATCAATTAGGCCAATTACTGACCTCATTCGGGAAGTAGCCCTGTGCAACAAGCCTTTAGATTGAGTGGTCCCCATGAGCCAGCAGTAGACAGACCTAGGGGTGGTGACCCGGGAAAAGATCCAGGCAGGAGATTGGGTAGTAGTGAAGCATCCTCAAGGAGATAAATGAGAGGGGACACTATTAGCCAAAAGTATGCATAATACATGGTGAGTATTTAAGTCAGATTCATCAAACGGAAGCCAAGCTCCTTGTTGTCTTGTTCCTACAGATTGGATCTGTCAACAAATGCAGCAATAACCATTCCTAATTGAGCCTGTCACTGAAGACGAGTCCTGCTCTGTCACCGATCTGAATTGACTGGCACCATAAAGCGGTGGACTGTTATAACTGTACTCTTTTTATTAATGCCTTATTGTGTTTTCTGGGTAGGGCGTGTCTACTATCCTTCTTATTACCCAGATATTAATGAATTTGCTCCTGAAGATCTCAAGGAGTGGCCTGACCCTGAAGAGCATCCCCCAGAAACATGCTCAGGTGACCTTCACGTGATCCAGCTGCAGTATCCATACTGGAAGAAACCTGCCACCCCACAGCAAATGAAGTCCTGGTCTCTGAGTAGAAGAAACAAGATAGTAGACTGGTACGGTGGTAACTGTCAGTGCACATGTGGCACCAGTTATTATCTTAGGTACATTCCCTCCCTGAAGGCTGGAGTGGCTAACTGTGGGAGGGGAAGTAATTGTTTTAGCTCTGCTCATTTGGGAGTTTGTTGTTACATACTTCCTGAGGAAAACCCCATTGAGCTCAATGCCCCTGAGTCTGTGCCCCCAATTGTGCATTCTGCATCTGTTCAGCCTCCCAAGCCACTGTGTTTATGAGAGAATCTGTCCCCTCCCATTCCTATGGCTGACAACACTCTCCAGTGATAGTGTGAAGCCTGCCAGGTGGGAGGGCACGCAGCAGGTTAGAACAAAGTTATTACTTAGTTTTTGAATCATACCTATACAGAGGCGTGGTGGAATAGTGCCCACTTTAATTCAACTAGAAGGAGGCTGTATCTGCAAGT